AAATCCTGACTTTGGACATGCGCATGAAGATGGTAAACATCTCAACCCTCCCCTTTTAAATTTCGGTTAGTGGACTTACTAAATGGTACAAAAAAGGATAAAATTCAGTTCAGGAAAAAAACATATGTGCATAATAACTGTTTGATAAAAAAACAAAACCACAAGTACAAATAAAACAATAATAGATAATGCCATACAATGTACCAACGAATAGCGCAGTTTCTGAAAGCAAACAATATGACTACATATTCTGGGCAAATGAACAAAACTTATCATTTAACATGACAACCATACTTCAAAATGGTTTACTCCAAGCAAGTTTATTGTTCATAATATCATTTCAGCGTTACAGTAAAGTATTTCAGAAATCTCTACATATACAACTATATTTAGCAGTTATTATACCTGTAATATTCCAAGTATAATATGAAAATAAGAAGATGTGGTATGATTGCCAATGAGACAACTCTCCACCAGAGACCAAATGAGCTAGAAGTTTAGTAACTAAAGGTACGTGATGTTCATATTCCTAAGTCTGTAAAAAATTCGCTGGTACTAGTCATCTATTCCCTCTTTTTTCCAGAGATTATTTTTAGATTAACAAGAAAAGCAAAATCCAATAGATGGCAAAACATTATACCTGCTAATAACAGTGAATGAGTTTTATCGTAGAAATATATGTGATACAACTGAGAGGACTGAAAATCGCATATCGTTAAAAAGTACAACTTAATATTGTTCTACAGTTGTCATTTCTTTACTCTATCTAATACGAAGCAATGATTATTGAATAAATTATTACAAACAGAATGACATAAAATTCGAAAGTTCCGATTATATACTCTCGTGTCAAAAACAATGGTAAGAATTGAATAAGTTTTTGTATTTAACGTATACTATGAAAATTTAGCAATACTTCCATTGAGATCAATGGGGGTCAAACTTTGAGGTCTCATATCTTTGTAGAAAAAGCTCAAAGTGATCTAAAATTAATAGAATTCTTTATTTAAAGGATGTTGAATTGATTAAGGAAGAAAATAAAAGGATGATAAAATTTTGGGAGAGTAAAAAAGTGCCCTTCCCATTTTTTCCATTAGTTTTGCGAGGTAAATGTTAATTTCTGTTAATTTTTTATCAATTGTGCCATCAAATTCACCACTCCGTCAATTTTGTGCGTTGTATGTATTTTTAACTAGACCATGAGCAAAAAATTGGTAAAATTGTGACTTTCAATTTTGACCCCTTCCCTCAAAATTTGCGAAGTGTAGCTGTCTGAAATTTGACCAACATAATTGTAGCCCTTTTAAATACATAAATGATTGCAGGTTAAGGAAACACAAAGTTGAAAGATAAATCGAGATTTTTTTTTACTTTATTTTCAATCAAAAGGTATGCTTAACTTTTTTTAGTAGTATATATTACATCTTATGGAACAGCTTAAGGCACAAAACCACATTGCAACGACTTATGATAATATTGGCCGGTATTCTTATCAGATATTATCGACGAAAGGCTCCAAGCACTAAGTATCATTAATCTGGACTAAACGTGATAATCTGTAATAAAAAAAAAGTACTTCGAGACGTTTTTTTACCATCGTATTCGAGTGTTTGTCTTTTTTTTTTTAGTGTTTGCTGCATACAGTCCTTTTGTTCCGTGAAAAGGACAATTGTCAATTCCTCTTCATATCAATCTTATTTTTCACATCCCTGTAAGATCATAAAAAAGTGCATAGAGTGTGCAAATAAAAAACAGTCGGCAGTTACCCTACTTTAAATGAGGGCATGTACACCTGTATCTCGAAGGTCATTGATCTGCAATGAACTGGCAAGAACCCTTTGTCTTTATAAGTGGTACTTATCTCAATAAATGCTATCACGTGATTAAGTACTTATGTCAAGGATACTAACAGCTTGACTTATGATAGTAAAAGTAAGATTACTGATATCCATTTGTAGACAGGATAAGAAATGAAGAGACGGAACAATTCATGCACAGAGAAACTTGAAAAAGAGTTTCAGATGTGCAAATTCAGTGGTTGTCGTTTGTCGCTGTATATCATATTTGTTTTTTGTTTATTGTTTTGTACATATATCAGGACGTTAGTTTTTTCTTTTGATTTATTTTACATTTATCATATCGCAATCCATATTTCGGATTTTATATCAATAAAATCTTTGACTTTGACTTTTATCGCAGCCTTTTTCAGCTTACTATGCGATATGTTTTGTTCATTGTTGAAGGTTCTACAGTGATCTATTATAGTTTCATTTATTAAAACGACAAAATGAAACTTTTCATAGTCCAATTGCACTTCAAATTTTAATACAGTACTGCTAGCGATTTCATAAATTCACATAAATACGTATGCTCAAAATTGAACCGTCAACATTTTAACATTTTCATGAAAGTCAGTTATAAAGAAAGTGGAAGCCAAACCATAAAAAAAAAATGACAAGGAAAAAAATTGTGTTTCTTTTCAAATCGTTTGTCTGAAGCTATTGATTTGTTCCTACCCTATATTTTTGAAGAAACGTCACTTGCCTTATAACATTTCTTTTTTTTTTTTTATCTAAAAGTCTTTCATTTATTCTAAAATACATAGAATAAGACTTATCACCGACTGTGTACTTAAATGAGCAATACGATGGGTGCTACACGTGGAGCAGGATCTGCTTAACCGGATCTTCTGAGAATTCTTTTGATTGTTTTTCGTTTTTTGCCATGATGCGTTTTTTCTTCACCTGCAGGTTTTACAGTACCATATTAAAAAAACCGTTATTTTTTCCGTAAACAGTTATGACAGTCACTTCATTCCTTTTTCAAAATGAAATGTTCGTGTACAAATTTCTGGATGCTTAAAACATGCTTTTGAAAATTTTGTCGAAAGATCAGAATAGTTAGAGTAAATGAAAAAAAAAATTTCGTTATTTGCAACTGCAAGACAATTTTTTTACAGCTTGGTTATTCTGACATTTTGTCAGAATAATACTTGCTTTACCTTCAAATCATACGTACATGTAAAAAAGGGATTTCCCGAGGGTCTGAATGGGGGTTAGCAGAATAGACAATAATGGGCAAAAAATGTAAAGAATAGAGGAAAATGGACCAAGAAAATAAAGAAAAGAGGATAACGGGGTGCTAATTTATAAAGAATAGAGAAAAGGGATCAAAAATAAAAAGAATAGAGAAAAATGGCCTAAAAAGTTAAAGAATACAGAAATGAAGGACCCCATCCAGACCCAAATTCCTACACCTAAAGTATTATAGATACTTTGTCTGATGGAGCTATTATGGTTTTCTGAGCGTCCACTGGAAAATAGTTAATGCATATTCAAGACGAGAAATTTTTTTTAAATATAAAAGGTAAAATATGATGCATGATGGTTAGAAATTAAGACAACGACTATAAAAAAAAGTATACTGGAGATTGACTGAAATTCAATCATGCAATACACCACCTATGGACCATCAAATAGATATTTTTGAACGTGTATGCAGATTTCATGGCACTCTACCTTAACAAAGCATCGGATTCAAAGTCACAATTTCGACCGAATGGGGCTGCGTAATAATATATCAATAAATAACACATGAGTTGTAACCGACATAAAATCTGAGTAAGTCGTCCTAGATGATGATTAGAAATCTCGAGTAAGAAATAGACTGCGACTGGAAAAGGGTACTTTGGAGAGTGACAGAAATTCAGCCTTTGGATTTCTCTAAATGTTTTTGAACGTCTGTGCAGAGAGTGTATTTTTACGTCCCGCACATCATACACCCCATGTAGCATATTTTGTACTGCCAGACGAGAGAAGTCCGGGTAACCGTATTTCTTAATTCCAGTCAAACTTTTAGGTGATATTTTGTCCGTGCAGAATTATTATTTATACATTGCGACGACAGATACTGCTGTACATCTTTAGTTATATAACTTCGTTAAACGTGGTATTCCTAATATATATCGCTAATACATGTATTTCCAAACTGGCGATCCAATGAAAACTCAACAGAAATTTCTATCGTTCCATTTATACATACATATTTGTATGAAGATAATCAGGAAAAAAGGGAAGATTGGGAAAACGTTAATTAGGCAACCAACTGACGGAAACCGGAAGTGATGAAATAAATGCTTGTTAAGTTGAATTTTGTTTTTATAGATTCGATATTTATATATTAATTAACTTTTTAGTTTAAAAATAATGCATGTATAACCGGAAGTGGTAATGAAATGAATGCTTTTAAGGTGAATTTGGATTTCAAAAATCGATATATTTGATTTTGATTTTTTGGTGTTTTAACGCCACTTTTAAGCACCGCTTTTGGGCTATATCGTGGCGGCCAGTTTTTATTGGTGGAGGAGCCCGGAGTGCCGGAGAAAACCACCGACCTTCGATAGGAAAACTGACAATCCTAGTCAATTAAGATTGGAATCGAGTGCACCCGCACGAGCGGGGTTCGAACTCACAACCTCAGTGTTGACTGGCTAGTGATTACAGTAGTAACTACTTAGACCACTCGGCCACCGAGGCCCCTAAAAATCGATATATGATATGTATATATTAGTTAACTTTCATGATATTATTGAAAATTGAAATAATAAAAAAAATAGAGAATTAGTCAGTTTAATCCTCTAAAAATCATGTGCAAGACACAGAAAATTGGTGTAATTTTATAAGCCTAAGAGCTTATAAGGTTGATTAAAATGTTCAATATTTCATACTGAAAAGTTCCAAGTTTCAGAATAAAACAAATCTCATTCAACATGAAAACAAAATAATACACAAACAAATTGACGTATTAATTAAAAAAATATGTGTACTTATTAGTTTTCTGGGTGCAATGTATGTCGAAAAGTCATATGAAACTGTAACTTCGTATTAATATGTACGGCTCATGGTTATTTACACGCAAAAAAAAAAAAAAATAACACGTGGCTGCGGTTATACAGTATGTTGTGGATATATAAAAACATCACAGAGTATTTAACATTTACTTTACATTTACGTTTAGTACCTACTGAGATATAAGGACTTTTAATTAAGTAGAGCTGAAAAAGAACAGTTTTTTTTAAACAACTCTTATCGTGTTATGTATGCAATTTTGGTCAGATTGTGACTGCCGATATTTACATCGCTTTTTCAAAAGCTACACGAAGATCGCTTTTTAAGCCTCCTGAACTGACAGTCTTCTTCCAGTGAATTAAAAATTGAGGGAACTTACGGTGTTTGTTCGGCAATAATTATGTAATAAACATCAAGAGCAGCTTATAGTATATTTCATGACCTATTGTGTTGGATTTAAAATACAAATGTCAATACACTATCAACATGCTATATTGATAAGCACAAAGAGTTGAACTATTGAACGCAGTTGTTCCAGTTAATTACATTTAGTACACGTGTTTTGTTAAAAATGATACGAGAAAAAGTTGCGTGGTTCTTACGAAATTTATGGGCAGTAAAGAATATTATCATCGTTTTTATTGCATTCATTGCACCAATAAATTTAGCAATAGGAGATAGCAAGGTAAGTTATTTCACTTTTATATATCCTTCAATTTTTAATACCTTTAAAGCAGTCAGTTAAATTATTTGTGTAGTAAACAACAGTGGACTATATTCAAATTTTAAAACGGATATGGATTTTAACAAAATGAAAGAATAGTTATATATTTGTATTTTTTACTGTTTAGCGTTGTATATATACTTATATTTCGTTTCTTGCAAGCTGATTTGGCAAATATTAAAGATAATTCTTGTTATCTTTGAAGAAAATTTCACATTTAGTCGTATCGTAACATTTTTTGTCTTTACTTCAATATTTTCTTATCACAAAATGTCGTGAAATATTGGAATGTCAGAGAATGTATACTTTCGCAGTGAGATGAGCTTTTCGGGTTTGTTTACCCAGTAAAGTCCAGCTTAATTGTTTGTTTAGATGAACTGTTTGTTTATTAATTGTCGCCCTGTTTTTATTTGTTTACTCTGACTTAAAGTTGCTTTTATCATACTAAAAAGGGAAACATACAATAGCTGTAATATGGACATTTTGGTACGGTATTTGTTTTTTTTCAGATGCAATCTTTGTCTTAAGTATCCATGAAATATTTGCCACTGGGTAAAAAATTTACCAACAATCAATAACAAAACATAACTATCGTTTGTTTATACTAAAAACTTTGTATACAATTGATTGTTTGTAAACATAGAAGGTCATATAGCATGTGTTGCCAAACATAACGATCGAATGTCCTGTAACATTTGTTCCTTGCTATACAATAATCTTATGATAAAGGTATTTATAGTTCATAACATAAGTAATAACATTTGCATTTCTCAAACACAGGCAAAGACCCATATAATGGACATCGGTATTTACTTGGTTTTATAAGCTTTTTGTTTATACACAGCAAATGCCAATTTTTGGATGCACACGAGGTGATAACATTCTTTTCTGTAGTGTGTATGTTTTTATCCCTTTCTTAAAAACTTTATTACCAAACTTCAACTATCGCCTGTGAATAAATATCATAATAAAAAGGGTATTGTTTTAGAATCAATATTTATCAATGTAGTAAGCGAGATAACTGTCGATATTTTGTTTGATATGAAACTTTTATTGAAAAAGAAAGAAAAGATTGCAAGGGTCAATAAAAAAACATAAATCTAAAAAACTGTGACCGCAAAAAATCCCTATGAACAGCTGTGCACGAAACACTTCATAAAAACGACACCGACAATGCATTTATCTTCTGTGTGTGTGTGTATGGAAGGGGGGGGGGGGGGGGGGTCAGTAGATTACACTTATTTTCCAACTTTATATAAGAATCAAACATTTTCAATAAGATGCAGAAACAAGATATGTTTTGATTTTTTTCAAATTGAAGTTCTATTTTTCAATTGAAACAAACCAGTTTCTCTACATCCCATCTCAAACAAGTTTGTTTTGCTGAAATCTACGATCAAACCCTTTATTGTAAACTCCCCCACAAAAGATAAAAGGTCGGCGACTAACCAATACTGTACAAGAGCAGATAGGAAGTTACGAGCACATTTCAAGGACACTAACTAAAAAAATAGAACACCTAAGCTATAAATGGTAATGACTTCAATCTAATAATTTCGGATCAATGTCTTTTAAATTACTATATAAACAGTATAATTCTATATAATGACAGACTGTAGTTTTTATTATCGTTATCTTTGAATTTCATCTTACTACAAATTATGATCATTACAAATAAAACGAATTTAACGTACCGTTGAAGTGAAACCTCATTTTGAACGTTGTGACATTGTCTATAGTCGCGTCCGTTTGGCGCAATCTTGTTTATTTGACTATGCTAATATTTTTTTTTAAAGTATGTGAAATGCAAATGTGCAAACCTGGAAAATTAAAATTTTATTGAACTAGAAAATTATGGATTGTTATGATTATGATATATCACTCTGTCATATTACATTGTTTTGTTAAAACAATTATTTCAAATATAGGATTATAAACAAAATTAAATGATGATGATACTTCGACCTCATTTTTCCTCAATAAAGAATATTCGATATATATCATCATATGCGTGTAGAACAAAATAAACTAGCATGTATCTTAAATAATGTATTAAATTCAACTTTAATATAATTCAATTCTTATAATTACATTTTTACGCTACAACCATGAAATTACGAGTTAAATCAAGACTTTCGTTTGTTTTTCTCTGTATTGTTTTAACGTTGTCACCGAGAGCGCCGCCGCGTGCAATCATCGCTGTTGCATTTTACACGAAAATAAAAATTATTTTAAGAATGGCTCTGCCACTCAAAAACACGGAATCGTATATAATAATTATACAGAATTTAATCATCAAATGTATACTATTTATTGACCAAATAATGAGAGAGAGAAATATAGATTCTTTTGAAAGAGGTGTCATAAAGGGGCCGCTTGCTCATTGAAGAACATAAAATAAAAGCGATTTTACAACGAACAAACAATAAATTTTCGATTCAACGGTACATTATTGCACATGGAAAACGGTGAATAACGGCGTCCGTGCCCAAAATACACGTCCAATGAAAATGCTTAAAAAGTACCCAATGCTACCCTCTTTTCAGATTACGTATAACCCTCGATGTTTAACCTCTTACACAAGGATAACGCAGATAGTAGTCTTATCATAAGGATTATTACAATTAATGTCAAGATTTGTTTCTGCGTTTTTGTTGTCACTCTGATAAATTCATGGCATCACTTCATATGCATCTTCGTGTATTGTATGTCAGCGATGCATGTCAGTTTATAACCTTCGCCGATTTATAATACCGGTACATGCACCTGTTTACCGCCGTGCGCTTTTCAAGTATGAGTAAACACTTTGCACAGTTTCCGGCTCTTTTATGTGACAGAAAACGTATTGTGGTTAATAACGTTAAAAACGAAGTCGATGACTATAATTTATTATGAATACATTTGTTTTATATCAATCAAACGGAAATTTATGTATCAACTACACATGAATTTAAACATATATATATATATATATATATATATATAAACAAGTCTAAATTGAAAACAACGTTCAAACCTATGATTGCGTTGGATAAAAACCGCAATTTTTATACGTGTGCATGCAAAACAAATTTCTTGTTAGAGGGGTCTAAATACAGCACAAACAACATTTTCCAAAAGACCAAAAAAGTGAAAAAGTATATTTTAACAAAACGCATTTGACTAACAGGTCGAACAACAAATGTTCTTAAACCATGCTGACTGCCATTGGCGATTGCCAAATAAACGGATCACCGATGTAATAAATGGATCTTAAATATAAATTTAATACTAAACAGAAAACAATAAACTTGCGGAAAAGATGTTATACCGCAAACAAAAGGTGCAAAGGTTTTTGTACACCATATCCGGATTTCGACAATTAATGTCTCTTCAGTGATGTTAGGAATCGAAACGGTATTTGGAAAGCCATACAATTTACCTCAATTTAGGATAGACTCCTGAATTTTGAGGAGTCAAAATAGGATGAACGGATCATATAAACCCGAAGGCAAATATAATACAAGCCCAAACGAAAAAATATAAACAAGTCTAAATTGAAAACAACGTTCAAACCTATGATTGCGTTGGATAAAAACCGCAATTTTTATACGTGTGCATGCAAAACAAATTTCTTGTTAGAGGGGTCTAAATACAGCACAAACAACATTTTCCAAAAGACCAAAAAAGTGAAAAAGTATATTTTAACAAAACGCATTTGACTAACAGGTCGAACAACAAATGTTCTTAAACCATGCTGACTGCCATTGGCGATTGCCAAATAAACGGATCACCGATGTAATAAATGGATCTTAAATATAAATTTAATACTAAACAGAAAACAATAAACTTGCGGAAAAGATGTTATACCGCAAACAAAAGGTGCAAAGGTTTTTGTACACCATATCCGGATTTCGACAATTAATGTCTCTTCAGTGATGTTAGGAATCGAAACGGTATTTGGAAAGCCATACAATTTACCTCAATTTAGGATAGACTCCTGAATTTTGAGGAGTCAAAAGAGGATGAACGGATCATATAAACCCGAAGGCAAATATAATACAAGCCCAAACGAAAAAATATAAACAAGTCTAAATTGAAAACAACGTTCAAACCTATGATTGCGTTGGATAAAAACCGCAATTTTTATACGTGTGCATGCAAAACAAATTTCTTGTTAGAGGGGTCTAAATACAGCACAAACAACATTTTCCAAAAGACCAAAAAAGTGAAAAAGTATATTTTAACAAAACGCATTTGACTAACAGGTCGAACAACAAATGTTCTTAAACCATGCTGACTGCCATTGGCGATTGCCAAATAAACGGATCACCGATGTAATAAATGGATCTTAAATATAAATTTAATACTAAACAGAAAACAATAAACTTGCGGAAAAGATGTTATACCGCAAACAAAAGGTGCAAAGGTTTTTGTACACCATATCCGGATTTCGACAATTAATGTCTCTTCAGTGATGTTAGGAATCGAAACGGTATATATATATATATATATATATATATATATATATATATATATATATATATATATATGAGTTCGAATCCCGGCGAGGGAAGAACAAAAATTTGCTTCAGCAAATTTGCAGATTTAACATTGTTGTGCTGATATTAAGAGTAATTATGTATAACTGTGTTACAACTCTAGATTCTACTGACGAGGAAAGGTAACACTAGGCCACCGAAAGCTGAATTTTTAGTTCAGTCTAGGTGGCCGAGTGGTCTAGAGCGCTGGACACAGTGTAGGCGGTGTTGTCTCGATATCCCAATAGCATGAGTTCGAGTCCCTGCGAGGGAAGAACAAAATTGGGTGATCCAATGAATGGATCTGTCGTAGAGTTGTCACTTGTTTAGACGTACTTATCAAATAATTATTTATGTGACTGCATCTTACGATCCTTTACGACAGATAATTTTGCTAATCTGCAATCAATTCCATCTTCATGCCTAATATATCATGTACTG